AAAAAAAAAAAAAGAACATAAGAAATTCTTTCTTGCATGTAAGGTGTTCACTCCAAGACACCTTGAGCAGAGTTACAGAATTTCACATGAAGTGCTTTCGCTGGTCTCTAATGTATATAATTATCCAGGACTACATAACAACATATTGATATGATTGTCTCCTTACCCAACAAAATGAAGAAAAGCACATTCCTATGTAAAGCCAAGGAACCAGAACACCGGATATATCACTGCTTTCAAATGAGAGAACCGAACCAGGAAGCCTGGAGAAGTTATTCAAGTTCCATCCTGAATTAACATACTCCATGTCAGAATTAGAAACAACTTCTCGTGCATTTCTTGGAAACCCACTGCCAAATGCTCCAGTTTCTACATCAGCCCCATAAAGCACCTTCAAAGGTAGACACGCTTCTTAAATATTATTTGTTATTTTCAAAGAAATGGAATACTTTCTGGTATCGAAAATTAATGTCAATGTATTAGAATGGGAAAAAATAGATACCTCAATTTCTTCTGTTGGTTTCTCTACAATTCGCCAATATTCACCCTCAATGTCCTCTATTGAAGGCTGCCACTGCTTGTCAAGCACGGAGCCATTACCTCCCAAGTCAGAATTACCATCACTGTTCCTGAAATACTGGGCCACGAATTCATCAGCATACTTCTGAAATCCACCCAGAGTAAAATCGGGACCAGGTTCAAAGCCAAAATTAACGGCCTCACAAACTCCAGCTTCATCTGCCTCTTTAACACCAGTTCTGTTGTTAACACCACTATTTTGATATCTTCTCCTTTTCTTTTCCTTTTCATGATTGACTTTAAATATCTTTTTCATTGACTCCCGATTCTGGAGTTTGTCAATCCGTTGGACGCGAGATGCGAATTTAGACTTTTCCCATATATCCCTCTCCTTGAGACGAAAAGGTGGTTTCCATGAAGGAGGCGGTACTATCCGGCAGATGCCGTATTTTTCTGCTTCGGGTCGTATACTTGAAATGTATTTTAATGTATCTTCAAACTCCTAATAGTAATAAAAACGAAGGTAAGCACAAGATAAATATTATAGAGGCCGTAAAATAGCTATAACCAGTAGTATTGTGAATATATGGTAAAATGGGAAATGCGAAATATAAGGACCTCTTTTGAAGGATAAAAGACAGGAGCTTCCTCCAGATTAGGCCTGTGAGATCCTTTTGGATGCCATTTCGCAATAACCTGTCCAAAACTCGCATTAAAGTCTTAAAAGCAAAACTAAATACCAAAAGATTAGTGAACTTAAGATGATTGCAGACAGACGTATTCAAAAAACAAACTGAAATGAAGACCATAAAGCCAGTAAAATTATGTTTTAAACTTGACACAAACGAAGTATTGAGAGACAGACCCTTTGGCAATTATTGCAGTCTTCACACCCACGGATAACCCCTTTCGGGAGAGAGCTCTTTGACCTCATGTCCTGAGAATGTACAAGATATAAGATACAATGAAACACTAAACATATTATAATAATATAAACCCATAAAAAAGTCAAGCACATTCAATTGTGAACCATACTTGATCATTATCAGCCTGCTCAGACTCCAGTTCATCACCCGACTTGCTATGGGACTGGCTGTACTTCACCGGGGTTTTACGTTTAAGAGACTTTAAGGTATCTGAGTTGTCAAAAGAGTTGTCTTCTGTTTTCACCAGGACGTTTTTTACTTCAGAAGCACCATTACACCCAGAGTAGATACCAACTTGACTGTTGTTCATCTTTTTGAGAGTGAAGGGTGCAAGTGACTCGAACCCAGGAGGAATCGAGAGTGATTCCATGTTATCTTCTTTCCCACAGAGACCAACAAGTTCTGTGCCCATTATTACTGGAAAAAAGAGCAACTAGCATACTTAGATATTAAGAAGGAAGAAACATTTATTTTCAAAAGCATGAGTTAAAGCACCTTAATGATTGAATGGGAACAAGGAGAATAAAGAAATACCTAGAGCTAGAAGTAAATCATCAACTATAAAGAATTGCAAATTCCAGAAGATAAAGATTGCCAATCACACCGTGAATAACATCAAATCCCAAATGCAAGTTTACCTGCACAGTTAACAGTGATCGTCACGTACAAGAAAAGAAGACATACAACTATACCAAACAATAACTTGTACAAACATTCATTTCGATTACGAAGCAATCATTCACAGTTGGTATAAAATTAAATACTATGCAGACAAAACATCATTAGAAGAATAAAAGAGACAAGAGGAAATTAAACTGACAATGAGTTAAGCAAGCAATTTAAGAATGTTCTGTAGTCCAATCACAAACTACACGATTCTATCACAATGAGTCTCTGGATTCAGTTATACACTAACAGTTGTCCAGAAATCTTCACCTGGGTATACTGCTTTGCTATCCACCATGCCATTAGTTGGGTAGTTTGTCAGTTTTAGCAAAAGAAATTGATGAAAAGAAAGAATGATCACAACTCTAGATATTAAACCAGCTTCTTAAGCGATACGGATGTTACAATTTCTACAGTAATAGGCTTCGACAATTTGGATCCTTTTACGAAACACCTGCCCAGCTTGTCTTTGCTACAATTGAACAATCAAAAAGAACTACGATCGTTTTATGAATTCAATCACCATAAGGTAAAGATCTGAAAAGCAAATTGAACATATGCTAGAGGCATTGGAAGAAAAATCACAGCACAAATAATTGATGTCATATGGAGGAATAAAAACAGGCTGATCCAATGATCAAAAGTCAAAACCCTATCAATTCATGCTCTCAAGCTACAATTCTTCGACAGATTTTCCAGAAAACCAAGGATCATTCAAGAATAAGAACCCTAATAGCCAAAAATCAAATCAATAGTATATCTTATTTCAAACCTTAAAAAAAAAAAAAAA